ACTCGCGGCCGACTACATAAATGCTGTGCTTCGCACCGCATTAAAAAAACTCGCGCACGACTACATAAATGCTCCTGCTTCGCAGGGCATTAATTAATAGAAATCGTCATTTCTGGTTGACTTGTGGACGGACTACTAAACATAGACACTTGTCTATATTATTCGAATTCGAAAAATTACTTTTTCACGAGTCAGCTGATATAAGTCGTGAGAAAATTGAAACGTACCATAATAAAATTCATCGCCACGAGAACTCTATGAAAGCCTATTAACACTTTTCTGAAGGACGATTTCGATTGATCGTTTAATTATCTATATGATTCATTATCTACAATCAGCTGTATCACAGCTGTCTTACATTCAAAGAGAAAGAATGGCGCCTGACTTCTCTTTCATTTTTCGTTTTAATTATCTCAATGCAAAATTTTGTCAAAATCGTGTTTTTGGAACGGTATTTTTGTGCGAACGAAAGACTGTATGAAAGATTGGAAAAACGATGTAATGCGTTCGATCATGATACTACGACCTTTCGTTTTAACGATTAATCTGTGATCTTTGGTTCTCGAGATCATCGCGTCACAAAGTGACGAGATAACATGCGTACGTCAATCAAGGAAGTAAGAAAAAAAAAAAAAAAACTCGCGACGAACTACATAAATGCTGTGCTTCGCACCGCATTAAATAAACGACATACTGTTTTTCACACGCGCCCTTCATCTCATACCAAAGAACGACACATTTAAGTTCAACGGATAGTTGTCTATTGGCGTGGATATGGGTGTGGGGTGTGGATGGGTGGGTGTGGGGGTGGGGGTGGGGGTGGGGGTGAGGGTGGGGGTGAGGGTGGGTGTGTGGGTGTGGGTGTAGGTGCGGGTGTGGGTTGGGTGTGGGTGTGGGTGAATAGAACACCTACACGCACACCAGGGTTGCCAGAGTGTCTGAAATGTCAGGACAGTGTCTGAAATGTCAGGACAGTGTCTGAAATTTGGATGCCTTTCTGATTTCCTTCTGACAGTCTGATTTTTTCTGATTTTAGCACTCTCGTCTGATTTTTCCTGTTTTTGATAATTTTCCCTGCTATTCTCCTGAATTCTGAACTTTTCTAAATCATATCACAGCTTTTTTAGCGAAATTAAATCTTATCATAATTATTCGTGTGAACAATTTTATAAATATCTTTTAACTCCAACACATTTGTGAAAGCAATTTCGAAAAAATGGAAAATATGAACAATAATATCGAATCTATGTTACATAATCATCAGTTTTTTCTTTCATAGGATCTTATAACTTATATCGAATATATGTGATTTGTTTTTGTACTTTTTGTGAACGAATTTTGAGTTTAGCGAAAGAGTTTGGCACTACGTGTCTTCATTGGCTTTTCCTTGTTAGCTAAACAGTATATTCATTGTATTATGCTTTTTTATAGCGAAATATCTTTGAAAATAAAGTATGAATTAATCAACAGCGATTCAATAGAGTATCTTGTACCAACATGATACCAGAATAACCACTAGGTTTTTCAAAAACTGACTTTTCTGATTAATTTCTGATTTTGCAAAACAAAATTCTGGTGGTTTTCTGATTTTGAAAAAAAAATTCTGATTTTTGAGTTTTCGATCTGGCAACCCTGACGCACATCCCACCACCCACGCCCACACCCAAACACACACCCACACATCCACACCCACCCACACTCACACCCACACCCACACCCACACCTACTATACAGTCACACACCCATACCCAGACATCCACACCAACACCCACATCCATACTCACATCCATACCCGCCATATATATTCAGAAGATGGAACATTCGCTGCATCATCCTATGATAAAAACTCAAATATTGAAAAATCGGATTTTCCCAGGTGGACCCTTAAATGTTCAGGTTAGTTACCATTATTATCTATATCAACTTCAATCTCCTTTAGCAATGTAATGAAAGCTTTTTTTTGAACTTTTCCCTAAAAACGTGATCTCTCTTGAAAACAACATGAGCTAATCATGTGTCATTTGTTTGATCAGTTTCAAGAATTTGCCATTAGAATTTAACAAAAGGAGGAAGCATGCACTGGAAAAATCAGTTTCCTATCAAGATTCGACTTTTTCTTTACGTTTTATCATTCTGGCTGTTAGAAGTCGATTTCTATGAAAATCAGGCAATTTCATACGGTCCATATTGCACGTCTCCTGACGAAAACGGCAAACACTCTTGCTATATAAAACGCGATGTTTGCTGCTACAATAAACATTGAAATGACACTTATCGTCCACAGCTGCAATATTTTACAACACTACGACAGAACTAGTACGATAACGTTCATATCTTCCAGACCTACCAAATGAATACGATGTTAGCAAATGATAACGTTCTCGTTCACTTTCTTTTCTACTTATCTCCAGATAGAACTCTATCAATTATGAAAATTATTACTTGACTTCCATTCCTATTACCACACAAAATATACTTTTTATTTAAAACCTGATATCTATTCACAATGTCAACGTCGTCTGAAGTTTTGGTGAAGATGAAATCATAATAATATTAACTGGATTCATCTTCGCGCTCTCAAAAAAAAATTTTACACAATTTCTTTCACTCGTTGATCTATGTAGGTATCAAGTTTTGTATAGTTTCTATCTTGATATTCTTCAGGTTTGAACACTTTTTCTGCGTTTGCCATTTGTAAGTCGCGTCGTTTTAAATATTCAGGCCAGACCAAATTATCATACCATCGAGAAAAATGATCAGTAATTGCTACTTGCGAATCAGGCATTTTTGGATTCACATGAGTTTTTCGTCGAAAACGCTGCATACGACAGCGAGATTGTGTCGAATCGAGAAATATTCGAATATCAAACATCGATGTTACATCATTCGATAGAGCAAAAAGAAGAAACCCTTCGACAACTATACATATAGGTTGATTTTTGTCGATGGCAAAGTTCGATCGACGCATTGGAGCGTTTTCCAAATCACTATTAATTTGCCGAAGTATAGTCAGAAAACGATCAATATTTATAGATGCAGGTTCTTCAAAACTCACCATGCGGCCGAGAATCGGATGATCAATATCGATCGGACTTGTAAAAAAATTGTCCAGTGAAATTGGTAGAAACGGAGAGTGAAGATAATCGGCCAGATGTTTTGCATATGTTGTCTTACCACAACCGGATGGACCGGCAATACCAATGAGAATAACACTAAAAGAACAATCAAAATATTGAGATCTATCATTTCAATTAAGCTCAATTGAGTACAACACGCACATCTCATTTGAGATCTTTCGAATTATGCTACTGAGAAATTATGAAAGGATCTTGTTTCAGAATGAGTCACAGTCTCACAATTCTTGCTAATCTTGGGTGTGAGTGTGGGTGTGAATTCCTAACTTTTGCTCATCTACACCGTACCCACACCCACCCACACCCTCAAGGACACTTGCATTGAGAAAATCTAATATTGCGTTAAAAAAATTAATCTTGCTGAAATTTTCAGGACATGTGCTTCCGAAAGTAGGCAGTTCTCGATCAAAATTTGTATCGAAACTTTCACTTACTCAAGAATTATTTCATACTAAGGATCAAAAATAAGTATCTATGTCTTCCAGATTTCTCCTTCAAATCCAATCATACATAAAACCTTTTACTTTAACAGCAGCGAAATTTTTTTTGTAATTGACAATATCAGCCAAGAAGGACTGTCGAAAATGACAGAATTTACTTTTGCAGAAAAACTGCAAAAGTAAATTCTGTATGGACTATCTTTATGATGGAATTACCTGGCATTGTGCAATTACATTGGCACTATTACATAGTGACATATATACCACGACCATTGGACGTTTTTCATTCTTCATATAGTACACATATAGTCTGTTTATAACTAGCAAACTATTGTTTTTACTATACGATGACATCATTATACATTCTTTTCTTTTTATCTTCGATCTATACGAGATACATCGAAAATAAGTTGCAAAAGTGAATTTTGTCATTTTCGATAGTCTTTCATTGCTGATATTGTCAATTATAAAAAGATTTTCGCTGCTGTTAAAATAAAAAGTTTTATATTTCAATATTAAGTCGTTCATTTACTTATATATTATATTCCAATCATACAGATTTCGACCTGATCTCGACATATACACACTAAGATAAAATGTGTCGCATGTGTCGCACTTTGCGACACAATGTACGACACATTAATATGCGACACGAGGAGCTCGTTGCGACACATTTCTTCCAGCGGACGTGCGACACATTCTTGTGCGACACATGCGACACATTCTTGTGCGACACATGCGACACATTTTTAACACGTGGTTCGAATCCATTTTCCGGCGCGAGGATTATTTTTTTTTGAAAATTCGAATAGTTACTATTTTTTCAGTTAATTTCAAACAGTAGCACCTATTCTTAGAGTTCGAGACGGTAGATCTTAAGATCTAGCTGCCTCGAGACCATTTGATCTCGATCAGACTACTTCGAGGCAGTCCATTCTCGATCACCTAGCGACCTCTTGACATGTTCTCGAATAATAAATGGTCGAGAAATAATCTAGAAAAAAAAGACATACGAAAATGTATAAGCCAAGTACGTCCAATAGGCTCGGCTATATGCAGCTGCACTCGCGAAACAAATCGGTGAATGAACGATTGACATATAGGCTATGACACATCTATAATGCGACACATTTTTGTACGACACATTTTTATAATGGAGTCTGCGACACATTCTTGTACGACACATATATGCGACACATTTTATTTTAGTGTGTAGTCAAGACGTCCCGCTACAACTCCAAAAGAATCTTGTTACTTTTTACAGCGTGTGCTCTTGAGACTTTTATTAAGTCGATCGATGACTTGAAGTTGCAAAGCATTGCGGTCACTAGAGACAATGTCGACACCGTGCTCCTTACATTTTTGCACGTTGGCTGTCAAGCTAATGACGGCAATAAGTGGTTTAGATCTTATTCCAGCTTTTTCCCATATTAGTTTCATTTTGTCTAACATTTCAAGCCCGTTGAGAAGTCCTCGTTCCCGGCGCCCATCACGTTCCATCATACTCGTGATCACACATTTAATATTATCTGGTTCTAAGCGACGCTCGTGAAGAGCATTGAGTGCGTTAGCCGTCTCGTTGAAGCATGCCACGCGCCATTTTTGAATTCGGAGCAAATCTACAGTGTAGTAGATATTGGGATCGGAATCAATCCATATGATGCTGCTCTGTGAATCGATGTGCGCGTTTGCCATGATTAACACGATCAATGTATTTTTGCCTGAATAGAAATTCTGTAATTCCGCGTTTGTGGCAGACTCTCTAATAATGTGTGCTTCAAAATGGGACAAACAGATTGGCTTTTTCCAATTTTCACTTCATCTCCACCTGAATATTGACTTTATGTGTTTTTTTTTTCTGAGAGTTGTAAAATTCACTGTTGGCAGCCAACGCATTGCGCCATTCTCCAGTTTCATGACTAATAGTTGTTGTACAAATGAAAAAAGCTACTCAAGTGCACCATGTGCGAGGACATCTACTTTCGTAACACAGAAGAAAGAAAAGGTAAGTGCATCAATCAAGTTTCTCTATTGCTCTGTGCATGACTCATGTGATGCAAAAAAACCCAATACCCTTGTTACAGAATAAGCAGAGGGCTCATTGGCCCGCACCCACACGCTTACATCCTAAAATAATAATTAATTAATAATTAATGTGTCCAATATTTAATATTGAATATTGAATATGGGTGTGGGTGTGGGTGGGTACTCCTGAAGAAAAAAAAACACCCACACCCAACCTCACACCCACCCACACCCACACTCACACCCACACCCACACCCACCCACACCCACCCACACCC